ATAATATTTAATATGATATATTTCAATATGTTGCTGAAAATTTTCTCGCCCAATGATTCCTTAAAATTTTATCTAAAATTTATTAATTTCAAAATTTGAGATAAATCCAAATGATCAATAATTTAATTACAATTTTCATTTTGAAAAGTCAATCAGCTTAGTGAAATTCATGAAATTTCAATATGTTGTTGAAAATATAACATGAAAGAGATTTCCGCCCACCAAATTATACAAAAGTTCAATTTCATCGCTTTGAACTGTTTTAAATATAATGCAATCACTTATCTTTCTCAGCTTTTGCCAAGAATGCATAAATCTATTCCGGATAAGTCGAAAAAACTAAAAGGAATAAAATTTTTTAAATAAATTTGAAAAATCGAAAGCAGAAAAGAAGTCGAATGAGTTTTAGTAGGAAAAAATGAAGTAATGAGGAATGGACGGCGCAAAAATTGGTTGGGAATGATAATGGACAGACCGATAAAGAGAAGAAGGAGGAATGGAAGTGGACAATGGCTATCATTTCTCATCCCTTAGGATTGAAGGCATGAATTCAAATATGATTCATCAATGAAAATTGGACTGAGCTAAGTTTTCTCGGAGTTTGACGGAAAATGTTATTTAATTAAGTGCTTGACAAAATTTCGCTAACAAAAATTTCGCTACCATCATTTTCAACTATTTTCAGAAAATATGTGCAAAAAGTTTTGTTTAAAATCAGAATAAAAGGATTATACAACGGAATTTTAATAGTTACAGGGCCATAACTACAAATGTCCAATTCTTTTGAACTTTGGCTATAGCATATTGCTAGCTTATTAACCTAAGTATTATCGTTTAACTTCAGGTTCAGAGTAACCTGCCATAATTTGCAATAAAATTTACCTTTCTATCCTATTACTTTTAAAGAGTAATAGAGATATTCCTTCTAAAAAAACTTATTTTATCTTATTGCAGTAATTCATTAAGTTATTAAAGTGAAAAATCTCCTGCCAATTTTGCGAAGCTTATTTCATAATCATTTAAGAGATCAAAGGTCGATGAAGTTAAAATATGAAAGGCAAATAACAGGCGGCGAAATCTTGTTGCACTTATCTGTTATGGTTTTCTCTCTCTGATTGTTTAATATTTGAAAGCTTTGAAACAGACTGAAAAAAAAATCTTGCAACATTTGGCCGTATTTCAAAATGTAAGGCTTGAAAGAAGGTTAACTTGACTAATCGAGTAAAATTTCGAGAAACATTTGATCATTAAGGTGGTGGTATATTTGAAACAGCTTAGTTGACAGTTGAACAGCTGAAAAACGGAATAACCGAAAAAGGTCTTTATGAATTGAGCGATTGAAGATTCTTGAAAAATCAAACAGACAAATAGTTTCACAGGCCAGTTTTATCAATTTTTTTAACAGTTGTGCAAGTAATCGAATAATAAAATAGTTGAACGGCTTAATAATTCAAATTTTCAGTTGAATGATAACTGAGTAGTTAAAGGACGATGTTTGAAAGAATGAATTATATCTTTCATGAAATTAAAAATTAATAAATGAGTTCAAGGTAATGAATTTAAGTCATCAGTAGTAATAAATTTGTAGAGTAAGCCATCGATTCGAGAGCAAAATTTTGATAAATGACTAATTACACATACTTTCTACTATTTAGTCCAGCAGCATTGCTGATAATTTCCACATAATAATTCGTTATATTTTAATTTGCTTAGTAAATAATAAACATTAATAAACAAAAATATGCGATCAATTTAATTAAATAACGAAGAATTTAGACTAACTAAATTACAAAATCTTTTTTTTATGAAAAAATAAAATAATTTTTATCAACCAGTAAGCAAATAATTATTTTAACCGTAAAATACAAAAACAAATTAAATGAAGAGAGATTGAGGAGTATGCAAGTGATCAGTAATTACTCTCATTTGTCAAAGCACATCATTTTAGCATTTGTTAAATGTGAATTAAACATAAGTTTAAAATAAACTTCACATTTTAAATATTTTTCCAATTTTAAAATATTCCTTACTTTAATTTGCAACTCTAAGCAGCTTCAAAGAAAGGAAAATAAAAATTTTTCAATTCTAAAGTATTAAAATCTCTGAAACGAATTTTTTTTCACTATATGTTCGCTTTCTTTCACCTTATTGAACTCATTGACCTTATCAGTGATATAAATATGGCGAAGAAATTCTGTGTATTTCGAAATATTTCGAAAATTTTTCGAAAATGTATTTCGAAAAACGCATATCTTTGTTATCAATTTCTACTAATTAATTTCATATTTCACCATAAGTTATTTCTACAATAAGGAATACCTTATTCGATTTATTTTTCTTAGAAAGAAACAAGACTTTAGAATTTTTGATAATTTATATTAAGTATTAAATCCTTAAGTAAGCAATTTTTAAACTGATTTTTTTAAACAAAAAATTCGATAATTGAAGAAGTTTGAGCTTTTTAAGCATTTTAAATAACATAAATGTCGGAAATACCGTCCTTACTAAGTGATTCAAGTTAAATAAAATAAACGCCTGTCCGCTTCATCCTTCTTGAAAAACGGTTCGTTCAATTTGCGGTAGATGAGATGACATTCGAGTATGACAGCTGCTACTGCAAATGTTCACCAAAAATTAGTAAAAAGCATCAAAGAAACAGTACCGCATTTGAAAGTGAAATTATAACAGAAAAACTGTCGTAATAGTACACCTGCTAAGATAAAATTAGCGGTAATGGAATTGCTGCGGAGAGGACGGTAAAACAGAAAGATCGTTTGTTGTGCTTTTGACAAACTGTAAACAAAGAACTCTTTCAACTTCCACTCAGTGTATGGAAGGTTTTGAAAATGTGGAATCAATCATTTAATCAGAAATGAATATCATATAATGCTTGTTGTTTAGTTAATAAAAATAAATATTTGGTGAAAGCAGGCGTCAAGCAGATGAGAATTGCGAATCATCAGCGTACGTTTCATGACTGACACGTCAACTTTAGCTTTAGACATTTTATTTTACACACTTTACGCAATGTAATTACGGTTGATGTTGGGTTAAATGACATAATGAGAAGTTGATTAGAAAAGAGAAAATTTAATATATTCGATTTACACATTCTTTCTAAATTATTTATACATTCCATCTTTTTCATAAATCGATGCTAATTCTGAGAATTTCATGCATGAATGTACCGAACGTTACTCATGTGACTTCAACAAAAGTCAACTGCCAAATAACCAAACAGTCTCGATAACTTTAATAATAATACATATTTATTGTTAAAAGAATATATCATAAGTGCAAACTTTATTTTACAAGTTTAAATTTGAAAAAACTACGACTTTTCGAATTTGCTGGAAATAAATGTTATTATTGTTATTATTAACAAAAATTGTTCTAATTTAACATCACTTATCATCTCTTTAATTGACGCCACACAAATCATGAACTTTGGGCTTCATATGAGACCAATAAGGACCGCTCAGGTCCATCTTATATAACATTATTAATAAAGTTATTCATATATTATTACTAAAAAATTATCGCTCTACTAATGAGACGCAACTGGAAGCTGTCGAGTATTCTCAGAACACTGATCATTGAAAAGCTGGCTTAACCGTAAGGAACTCTGATCATCGATTGAAAGATTTAAGGCCCGCAACATTTTAGCTAATAGGGTTGAATGCCTCCTTCAAGAACCCTGAATATGGTATATCTCTTGTAATTGTTTTAGGATTTGATAGTTCTGATAATCGCCAGCTGTTGAAGGAAGACAAGAACTCAAAATCTATTGGATTGTGAGGTATAAGTACTCGATGAATGGTAAATGACGAAAGTTTCCACGTAAGAGACAACTCGATACCATCAAAATTTAAGATTTAAATTTTATGAAACCTAGCTATTGGATGATTGCATGGGTTGATTTGAAGGTCAATGTGATAAGCAACGGTGATGCAGGACTGAATCTTTATGGCAGAGCAACCAATATAGACAGTTTTCACGTCCATAGTCGTACATGGAAGACGGAAGACGAAATAAACAATATTTCGGTGTCGAAAGTATCATATTGGAAGACACTTAAAGTAAGCGATAGGAATTGATAAATGATTGGTACTGTCAAAGGATGAATTGGTCTTTTCGCAGGAATGAAAACATATTTTTCTGAACGTTGAATAACACAACTGGAACTGTCATTTCATAAGCTGAAATATAAATTTAAGCAACGATTCAACGATTTAGCGCTCAATTCCCTCCGTTATGCTAAAATTTCTATCGTTATTTGATCGTTCAAAAAATCTGCTCAAATGATTTTACAAGGTTTTTCTCACAAAACTGAACCTGAAAACAAACAGATTTAGATTCTGTCCGGCATGACGAAACATTGAATACTTACGGCTCGGTATTGTATTTGAATAAAATATAATTTGAATGTTCTGAATGACACGAGGAACTTTCTCTTTGCTATTGTTTGAACTTTGGTGTTTTTGAACTGCAAATTTTCAGTTCTTTTATTTTTACAAAACTATAAAAAGAAAAATTAGTGCTTCTAAAGTTTGGCAGTTTTATTAAAATCACATGGAATATCAAACGGATCGGATGACACAAACATATTTGTTAAAAGTTTTCTCAAACACTCCTTATTTTCACACAAATTTTAATGAGTTTCTTTGCAAAGGTTAGTTCGATTTTGATATAAAATAACTCAAAGAATGACAATCCATATCACAAAAAGCATTTTTTATAGAGATTTAATACAATGCTGCCCGTATAAAGACATCAAAGAATAAAACAAAAATTTAATTATTTTGAATCTTCTACCTACCAAATTTTCATGATTTTCATAAATTTTGAAAGTACAAATTTTCGTCCTAATGTTCTTTGATAATAAAATCTTGAAAATCATGATTACATAAAATTACTTCTTAGTAGAATAAGATTTCCCCGCATGGTTACAATCTTTCAAATTTTCAATTTATTTATACAACATTAGGATTTCTGAGACCCTATTCCTTCATCTCCAACAAAAGTTCGCTGAGTGGCTGAAATGCAGGCACTGGATCTGAATTAACCGCATTGGCCTGCAAGTAATTATCTAATTATGTACTTCATTGCTTTTAATGCACTTCTGCTCTCTGCACGTTTTGTATAATAAATTTCGTCGCAAGTATACAAAAAGCTAACATTAAATGAGGAAATATTGATTGAGCTGTTTGATGTGAAACAAACATTCATCCGACTTGCTGGACTCAAAATTTCGTCTACTTTAGCATAAATTAAGTCACTGATTTCTGGATCGCTGTGAATTTCATCTTTATAAATCGTAAAAGGCTCTCTGGATGAGCTTTGATTCGATTCAAAATACTGCAAAAAAAGGAAGTTCAAAATTAAATTTGGATTCGTAATTAAGAAAAGACTATATGAAAGTCGAATCATCTCTATTAATATATTGGGAAGTATTAATAAGTACTTCACTTCACCTTATTCGGTGTCACTCCAATTTGATTGAGATATTCAGTGACTGAACTTGTGACTGACACATCATCCGGATCAATGCCTGAATCAGGCATTGAATATGTTACGGAATGACTTCCTATTTTCTTTTCCATTGGCCTGAAGAAATTTATTATTTGATGGATGTGCGCAATAAATTTGATAGCAAATAGAAATCTTCAAAAGATACCGAAGACAGCTAAATTGCAAATAATTTGACAAAACATCTATACCGTAAATTTAAATTTATTTTGAATCGGTGCTTTTTTTTCAGTTTTTTGTACTTTTCGTGATTTTCATCGAATGTAAAACTTACGATTTAAAGACAAGTTTCATAGAGCTATTATTGACATCCGTGGAAGGTGAAGAAGAATTCTGTAAAAGGTCAAAGATAATGATGTTATGTCAGGACAGGAAATGAATAGTACTATCCAAAAAGTTAGAAAATTCCGTCAGAAACAATACCTTAAATTTGGCGTAAGATGAAGAAGGGAGAGGGACGAGTTGTGCTTCTCGTTGAAGACGTGGCGATGGTCGACTCAAATCTCTCACCACCGCAAAGTTACCTTTATTAATGCTATAAACCTATAAAATCTTTAAAATGTAAAAGGAAAACCAAAGAAAATATCCTAATCAACATTTTTGTTAAAGACATCACGACAGCTGTAGCTCGGCTAAACTGCTAATGAAGCGGAATTGAATGCTTTTGGTAAGGGTAAAAGTCTCAGTTAAAATTTCGCGAACTTATTCGGTTATGCTTCCCCATTGCTCGTTACAGCAATATAAGCTAATTTTTATTGGAGCTTATAGTAGTCCTATTTCTGGACACCTTATTTTAGTCGTCTGTTTCCAAATCATTTTTTTTTAACTTATAGAACTGAGAGGGCTTCGGAAATTTGTTTACCTGTTTATTTGGTTTTGTGCGATTTCTTGTCCTCACATTGATGACCAGTACAATAAGAATGAGCAACAGAACGAAAAGCAACAATAATGCGCCGATGGTCAAGATTTGGGTTACTGTTAAGGTATTTGTTGCTGAGAATACATCCGGCGGCAAGAAGTCACCAATCTGAAAATAGTAATGACCTGTTTTATTTTAACTGTCTTCTAAATTTCAAAAATTTCACTAAAGCAAAACTGTAAAGAAATGGTAGTGTAAATCCAATAAATTTTAAAGGGAAAGATTTCAGATTTCAAAATTTTCTCAACTCTAACAGGATTAAGTATGAAAATCACGTAGCAGACCTCAATGGTCACTTTGGTACGAGAACTTTGGTTTGCACTAGAACTAGCGATCACTGTGAATTCATCACTCGTAACATTGCTGAGTGTCCTGAAATTTGTTGAAATATCACATTGCATTCGTTTCATCACAGACGCTTTATGATAGACTTGAATTGGGCTTATCGAGTATTTTTTAGGATATCCTCAATTCAAAATCGTTTTCTCCTCATACCTGTAATGAAGCTTGTGTGATAGCATAATTTGTCCTGTGCTTGGATCAATGCTTAAATATCGCGCTGCACTTCCCTGTATTTCGTACCGAATTACACCATCAATTCCCGAGTCGTGATCCATCGCTGATACAACTCCAACATGTTGGCCAACTTGGGAGCTTTTCGGAATCTGACTATGTTGAACTTTTTACACTTCGACATTTTGTCTAAGACATAAATTTTTACACATTTAACCAAAAACTCCTAACGAACGCAGCTTTTTTATGTTGCGCTCTTGACTGATTTGATTTGGCCTTTTTTGGAATTTGATATCTGTGATTGAATACTTTTACTCTAATTTCCGTTATTTATCGTCTTTTATGTTTCTCTAAAAGACATGCCGTTAATCTGATTTTTTTGCTTGGGTAAAGCAAATTATCTCGGGAGGAAATATTCCTATCGGCATTCAGCTACTTTTTAATAAAGTAAACCAAATTTGCAAATATATAAGTAAAGCTAAATTAGTAATTTATCCTGAATCTTATAAATAAATACAGTGTTCTTACTTGAAAGACATAATTATTTTCTGTGAAAACTGGTGGATATTCATCAACACCGAGGACTCGGATACGAACTGGTACTGTTGCTGATCGATTCCGATTATCCTTAACCTTCAGGATGAATTCGTATTCTGTCTGCGTTTCGAAATCCAAATCTTTGATAAGTGCTACATAGCCGGTACTTCTGTTGCATGCAAAGGACTGAAGCTATTGAAAAATATTAAATTTTCAGACAATTTTTCGAGTCGAAATTGATAATACAAAAAAAATTTAAAAAAACAACGCATGAAATTACTGAAAATATAGATATGAATATTAAGCTGAGACTGAAATATCATGGAATATGCAGTAGTATTTGCCCGAAAAAACTCGGTAATTTGCTGTTATTTTGACGGGTCCGACCCATGAATCTCCTGAGAGAGATTTTGACCTGCGATAGATCGAAGTAGTTTAACAAGTGCTAACAGATCAGAAATTGAATGAAAATGAGCTACATTAAGAGTAAAACTCACCTCACTGGCATCTATTACTGTATAAATCCAATCACCATCAGACAATCCTAATTTATTGACAGCTTTTGAACGTAACACAATACTTCCTTTCGGCAAATCTTCGAATACACTTGTCTCGTACTGTGAAACGACAAAGAATGGAGCACCAGCTGATAAGAAATCGGAATCGAAACGGATTAGAACTGAGGTCCAATTCAATCGAACTGGTACACCGTTATCGATAGCCGCAATTAGCAGGTTATCAAGAGTTTCATTCAAATGCATCTCTTCAATATCGACACTTTTCTCAAAATACAGTACTCCGGATGAACTGTTCAATTTGAACATTCTATAATCGTTTCCAGATAGTATTAGATAAGAAACACGTCCGTTATCACCACTATCACTGTCCGTAGCCACAAACCTGGCAACATTTTTTAATGTAATAATAACTGAAGTCTTTCTATTTGTAGACAAATCTAACTATTGTGGTTTAAATATTCGAATATCACATTTATATGTGTAATCACCATCAGCAAAGATATTTTTATAAAAACTCGATTACTTCGAAAATAATAATAGTACTTATAACATTCCTAAATAGCAACTTACTTTTTGGAATTAGTGATAAATAAATGAAATATCATCACCAATTTAAATCATATTTATTTGGTTCATAATCTCATATTCTCAAATCTCAGTAAACACTGCACCAAATGTAAAGTAATCCACGACATACCTCGCCAAAACTTCATTTCCAATCATTCCGTCGCTAATTGTTATTTCATCAATTTTTTCTGTAAAATACGGCACATTATCATTTAAATCCGCTACTTTCACGTATACTTTTGCAGATGAATTGTATGTTGCATGTGGCGACGACGCCTCAATCTGAAAATCACTTACGTGATACTCCTGACTTACTTTCATGCAAATTCTTTTGCTATTCATCAACCGTTACTATTTTGCAATCAAAAATCTAAAAAATAGAACCAACCAAGAACTCAAATTCATTTTTGAATTCAGCATCAACTGGAGATTTCAGAAAAATTGAGCCTTCGCGGGAGATATCGAAAATATCGGCATGCTCGAAATTTTGAATCCGTAATAACGTGTTTGTTGGTAACTCATCCATCAAAGTCACTTTGCCAAGCTCAGTATATGGACGCGTGTTTTCCGGTATCGTGAAACTGAAATTGATTCAACTGTTTCGTGATTGAAAGATTTCTCTGACAATTCGAAATATTCAATTGGTATATTTACATAAAGTATGAAAGCTTTCTCAAAACGACCAGTTCGATATTTGTTGAATAGATGCTGGCGTTAAAAGGAAGCTATACTTGAATGATGTTTCAGTGAACCGTATAGGTTTCCGGTCATAATCGTCCATTCCAACATTAATTTGAACAGCGACCGCAGAACTTTGCATTGGCTTGCCCCAATCAACTGCGTGAACTTTTAGGTAATATGTCGAGCGATCTTCCAGCTTGCCAACCACTAATAGATCGCCTGGAATTTTTGTAATCTGAACAGCAAAAATGTGGCGATTCATTAGTTGGTGAAGATGAATAGTTATGCGAGAAAGAAAAGCCATCTGCAATCTCAATCCGAGTACAAGACATTTCAGGCACGACTAATCGAGTTCTGTAATGGTTTCTAAATTACTCACTCTGCCAGAACAGATCAATCAATTGTACCTGATTCAGGGTCAATCCTAAAGTCCTTCACGCTGTTCATAGCCAGTTCATAGCGAACTGTACCAGCAAGCCCTGTATCCCGATCATTTGCTCGTATTTTAGCAATCTTTGAGCCGAACTCGACATCTTTTGCGATATTAATCAGGTAGAACTGTTCCTCAAACTCGGGTGCATTATCATTAACATCTTCCACAATTATCCGTAAAGAAGCACGTGAAGTGTTTTCCCCGTCCGTTACCTGCAAAAGACTTTGAATATTGTAGAACTCGAAATAGCCATTATGATTATTCGGCGCAACATAAAATATATGTACCTTGAAATTAGCATTTTTTGAAGCTTAACTAACATTATAATGAGTACCACCTGAATATGAATGATATGCTCTTTGTTGGTTTCATAATCCAAACTTTGAATTAGAAATATCTTCCCAGTGAATGGATCAATTTCGAAGAAATCACCGGACGACAGTAAACTGTATTCTAGTTGTGTATCGGCATCCACATCTGTCGCTACTGCCGTTCCTACCAAAGTGCCGTACGTTGCTGCTGCAAATGGAACTTTTCTGAGATTACTTATATCTTTTGACGTTTAATTCAAAATGCAATACGTCGGCAGTAATCGAACCTTCCAAATACCAATAGTGTTTTCGTAGCTAACACAGACTATTACGGTAAATGTTCTACCGTATTTTGTCCAGACCAGAGTTATAGCAAATAAATCAATAAACAAGAATTCATCTTAAAATTTTTCAAAATTTCCACTCATCTCTATTTTTCATTCCTATCAAAAATGCTTGATCGAAAATTCGTTAAAAAAATGAAAATCGCAGAAAGGACTAACATTCAAATACTTTCCGAGTCTTCAACATTGGAAATGATGGGACATTATCGTTCGTATTAATCACTAAATTTAACAACTTTAAAATTAAATCATGAATTCAGAAAATTTGAATAATCCATAGGAGAGCTTTGAATGACATCTAAAATTGCATCCATCAAACATCTGTTCACTATGCAAGTAGGCAGCTGTAAAATATTCTGCACGAATAATACGAGGTCATTTAATGTGAACGTTTTCACACGTTGTTGGGTGACAAATGATCGAATGAAAAGGCAAAACTGAACAGATAACGATTTTCAATCGCTATTGATTTCTCAATTCCTCTTCAAATTTTTCAGAAATGATTGAAAAAAGAGCACCTCTTATATGTACATCCGTTTCAGGCGTTTTCTTCACGTTCCCCGTTCCGATTACTTTCAAAGTGTAAACATTTTCAATCTCATAATCCAATTCCTGAGCCGTTGTTATGCGCCCATCGTCATCGATATCGAATGCTGCATCCATATTACCACTTACAATACTGTATGCTAACGGCGCATCTTCAGTCAAACGGTCTAAGCTACGAACCTGAAAATTCCCAAAAGTTGATCATTTCTCTATCTTAGGTCAATTTTAGCATTTCAATTGCAAGAGGTAATCTCTTTTACGACTTATCAATGTCCATGAAATACCTGAAGTACGAATTGTCCATGTTGTTCACCCTCGTTAATAAAGCCAATATAATGTTCGCTTAGGAACTGTGGTTCTTCTAATGTCAGCTCTGATTTTGACCTGGTCAGATGAAGTTGAATATCAATTTCCGATGATAAAACTCGGGAAATTCCTTGGTCCTCCGCTTTTATTTTGACTGTATATTCGCTCTGTGAAGTCGAATAATATCTGAAAATAACAAACGATTCCATTTCTGCGGAGTTGTTGATTCAGATCATATCATCAGGAAGCATTTTTAAGTTGAAATCTTCACGCACCTGGCAAAAATGATTTCCCCGGTATCAGCACGAATATCCAAGAGACCGCTTGTATCCTTGACAATGTTATAGGTAATCTGGCCATTTGGACCCTCATCCTGATCTGTTGCTGATAGCCTATGAATTATTTCTTTCTTCAAAATGTTTCAACATGAAAGTTTTAACGAAACACAAGAAAATTTGAGCGAATTAAGAAATTCATTTATTCCATTGGGAGGATTTGATTTTTGTTTGATTGGAGAAAAAATCCGAAAGAGATGCTAAATGAAAGCCAAGAAGGACCTTTGCTCCAATCATTTCTTTTTCAAATTTTTGAGATAGAGCAAATGTATAAGTAAGCTCTTATTCACCTTCCTAATATTTCGCCAATTCGTCTGTTATCATCAATTTCTATTAGTGTCGGAACAGTATCATCAAAAACAGGTACATTATCATTTTCATCAGTTACTGTAATGCGCAACGTGCAAGTGTCCTGGAAAAGGAACGCAAAATTTTCAGAAGCATATAAATTTGCAGAGAAATAATTTTCAAAATTTAACGACCACTGTGCGCTTACAGCTCGTTTTGGAATGCCTTGATCTTCAGCAGTGATCACCAAAAAATACTGCGATTGTCGTTCACGATCCAACTCACGGCATGATAGCAATCCCGTCGAAGAATTCAGGAAAAAGGCCGAATTTTCGTTTCCAGCTAGTAATTTAAAAAAGACTTAATAGCAAGAATGTATTGCTCAATCTTGGAATTTTTTTATCTTTTTCGCTTTTGATAATTTAAAATTCAGGAAAGCCAGTTAGCATAATTCAAAAGTGCTTTCTCTTCTCTTTCTTAGGATGCGCTATCATAGTTTTCGTAGCAACATCAAACAATCAATAAGACGCTTACCAACTATTCTGTAAAAAATTTCACCGTCATTACCGTCATCCTCATCCCATGCATAAATACGAGTGAGATGTTTTGCAGCAATGTTTTCACGTATCGTCAAATTACCGCAACTTGATGAAGAAATCCTTGGTGGATAGTGATTAGCACTGATTACACTCAGATGGACAGATGCCCAGTCGACTAATCTCTCTCCTCCAGATGCTATCACTAAAGGAATTTTTTTTAATCCAATGACTTCCAAAAAAGTATCCAACTTTTGAAAGTGAGAAATCGTCTTTATGTTTCGGAAGGGTAATTCATTCTGTGAATCATTGATGGTTGAATTATTTATTTAATCAAATTTCCAAATGTAAAGCATTCTGAAGCGATTTTTCAAAATATTTCATCGAAAATTTTGCTCGCAGGAGCAATTTGACTTCTCTTAAGTTTGGCATGACCGAAAAGAATTAGCAAAATTGCGGTAGCTTTTAAAACTTCCAATTCTTACCAAGCCAGTCGTATTTTCCAGATGTAATTTCCTTCAGTAATATCAATTTTCCATCATCCGATAATTGCAGAGCATCATTCTCGGAAACGAAATATGAAAACAATTTCATATGCGGCCAATCACTTCCTGCATATCAGAAATGTTGGATATTATTATTGATATCGAATAAATGTAAATGATAATGACTTGCTATCTCGTGTAAATAATAAATGATTATTGAATGACACTTTGATTATTGTCAACTGTCACTAAACTTTATCATTGTAAATTACCGCATGGCTATCACAAATGATCTATCATTTGTGTTGGCCTCTACCTTTTTTGTGATTATATTACATCACCAGCAGCACTTACTGATTTCGAGGAAGTCAAAGAGAACAGTTCCTGGAGTGGCAGTACTATTCATACTAATGAAATATTTCCGCTGCGGGAAAAATCTCCACTGTCGACGATCGGAATCAAACTTAACAGTGATATTTTTTTCCGCATACTTCAGTGGTACACCATTATCACTGGCTCGAATGCGTACATTTCGTTCGCCGTTGAAACGATGTCTGAGAACCAAAGTACCTGTAGCAGATTCATTATCGCTTCCCTTAAATTTCAAGCTTTGGCGTTGCTTGAATGAATGTTGACACTTAATTAGAAAACAAACCAATCAGATTTGATTTAAATTATTAAATTCAAATGGTCAAATATTCTGTGGTTCAATGTTTCTTTATCTCCTCGGTGTGTTGCAAAATTCTTCCTCCAATGTTCACACGATATTAAAATTACCGGTATTGGGATCGATGAGGAACGCATCATCCACATTGCCATCTATAAGCGCATAAGTGATTTTGGCATTATCGCCAGCATCATCATCCACAGCAACAACATGGTGGATCACATCACCGTCAATAAAATCATTATCTATCGTTATCTTCTGTGAACTAAAGCAATGACAATTTTGCAGAACAAGAAACAATACATTTCATTTTGAGTTTGCTTGGTTACCAATTAGATTTAATGAATTTGAAGCATGAAAATTACAAGAATTAAAAGAGATTGTCTTTTAAAAAAATAAAGAGAAAGTCAATTTCTAGCAGTTTGATAAAAATCAATACTTATCGCAAAAGAAAAGGAAAACCTTAAAAACTGCGGTTGATGATCGTTAGTATCTTCAACATCGATGAAAACAGCACAATGTGAACGTTTTGTCACGTCCCGATAGTTATCTTCTACTTCCACTACCAGAAACAACGACAAATCCTAGAATGAGGACAGACATAAATTGGATTCAAATCAAGTATATTCTGCTTAGGTTTATCACTCAGGTGTTGTTCTTCTGAAATCTTTCAATAGCTGTTTTCTTGATTATTTTTAAGTATTCATTTTTCTGAACCTTTTCCGAGTACATGATCATTTTATTTCAACTGATTTCGAATATTTCAGTGTTTTATTCAACTGTAATTAAAACTGTGAAGACTTACTGACCTGTCTCCAATGTAACGATCGAATCAGTAATATTTCAGCAGTGTCCGGATCGATCGAAAACAAGTCCGTAGAACCTTCAACAATCGAATAGCTCAACTGTTTACCAATATCTTCTTCAGCATCTTCAGCTGATACTCTCCCAATTATTGAACCTAAATTTCAGTACAATCCCAGCATCACACGTTTTGCAAGAAATAGTAACACAGAAAAAGTTGAAGTCAGTTCTGTGCTCTTCAACTCTCACTCCAAATTGTCCTCTCAGCTCCTGTAGCTAATAGATGTTTTCCGGAGGACCGAAGGATTACCTGTAGGCTCATTTTCCTTGATCGTAAAAAATCGTGGGCAATTGGAGAACTTTGGCCAGTGAATGTTTGCTGGTTCCACTTCGATATACACATTTTGTTGTTCGACCTGATAATAATCTTGTGGATTCCGTTTCTGCACTTTGAGGAGATAACTTTTATCGCGAGTCCAACGGAGATTTGTTGTTAAATATAATGTGGAGGTGGTACTATCCAGGTAGAATGCATCTGTCTAAACAATTAAAGACATTGATTTTCATCCTCTTTCTTTCATCAAAAATAATCAATCCCATCGGATTTCCTTCCTGACTTCAATAAACTCCTTAAAAGCTCAGAACAAATAAACTTGTGCGGTCGAAATTCACCTCATTCTGCAGATGCCAAAATGCCTCGCTAATCTGTTCATTATTCAGTGTCACCAATTTTGAACCAATTGGAGTAGTCTTCGGTATCCTGAACTGAATCAGCTATGAGATTTGTCAACTAAAGGTTTTTTGATGGATATATGATATGACTTGACCTTAAGAGAGAAATCACTGACCTTATCAGAGTTGTCTTATCGCCCAGATGCGACATTTCTAAAGTCGATGTAGAAATGATAAAAGTAATTTGTTTTTGGCGTCCATCATTATCAAATGCTATTACAGAGAGTGTTCGACTGTCCTTTATTGAGGCTGCATTGAAATATGCCGAAGTACGAAGAGTGTTGTTCAAAATCTCAAAATTACCCGAGATATCTGGAAGTAAAGTCAACTTACTTTCAGAATTATCTAGTTTCATCCAAAAAACACTTTTCCTGGAATAGGAAAAGAATGGCCAGTCGAGGAAGTGCTAAATCTTCCTTCAATATTAAGCTGAAAAATGTTGTATTTTCTAGCAAAGTTTGAAAATGGAAATTCATACCGCTCATTTCGATTTCCCACCTGGCGACATCCGTTGCATTCAACACCTTTAGCAAGCGGCCCGATGTACATTTCTCATCGATTCTAAAAACTCTCAGTCAATAGAAGCATTTAACGGAGGTTACAAGTGAGATTTCTCTTAGATAGAAGTTCGCTTGAAATCCATTGAGAGAGACGCGACACTGCACAATTTCCCGTGTGATAATTGCGCAAATATAACTTCAGAACTAATTAATAATTTGTATTTTTTAATTAATCTGCAATTTACTTAATGATTCGATCCATTGGTTCCAGAAATTTGACTTTGGAATGTATTTTTCCAATAATGATACGAATTTGACAGGTAGTTGACCGAGCTTGAATGTCGCCATTTCGATCGAGAACTATTACTGACAGGCGGCTTTCTTTCCTGTAGTCTTTTTCCGAAAGTTTCCTTTTTACGAACAATTCGCCTGCAATAATATAAAAAATTTGATTTCATAAATGCAACTATGATTGCAGCATTTTGTGATGTCAGGTATGATATAAAAGATAAGTAAAGGTATGAGGCTCTATCACATACTGTAGATATTCCTTACATATTTAAATTTAGTTCTCAAAACAGAATTCGAATTAATTATATTCAGGCATGAGATTTCAGCTACTTTTGTTTGTATGCTATCCCATAGAAAGCTATCGAACGACTAGATCATACGTACCGTTTTCTTGAATAGCAAAACTGACATCCTCCACTTGCAAGCGATACGATAAACTGCCGTTCAAACCCTCATCCGGATCTGTTGCAATCACTTTTTCAAATATTTCACCAACGTCGATGTCGTCAGTAAGCATAAAGGAATTCACGGTCGGACATGATGGTGAATTATCGTTTACATCCAAAATTTTAACGTGAACGGTTGCTTGAGAAAAGAGTTCCGGCTGGAAATATTCACAATTACATATGTATTTCTGCCGACTGATACTAATTCCCTCTCAGTTTATGGTAGTTCTGATTAAACATTTGTGATCGTTTTTGGTTGAATAAAATTTTTTCTTTGATTAGTAAAAAAAGAAATTATGAATAGACATCTTCAAGTGACCAATACAGAAATGAATTAATAGGCTTTCATAGGTAAACTTAATAGGAAGAGTAAAAAGTTCACCTTTCCCTGGTCGCTAGCAATAACAAGTAAGCGATGTTCGGCAATCGTTTCTCGATCAAGTGTTGCTTTCACAAAAATATTTCCGATTACAGGATGGATACCGAAATGATGATTTGCTTCACTCAGCCGATAAGAAATTCTGCCATTCTGTTCGCTATCCAAATCTTTGGCTTGAATTGTTAGAATGTCCGTCATAAGCTGCACATCTTCCGGCACCTGAATTTCCCACTGATTTATGGTACTTGCAAAATGTGTCACATTTCCACGATGTGGTCAAAAGTTCGCAATGTTCAGTAAATGGTCAACTTACTGCAACGGAATACATTTGTTCCTTGAATTCAGGTCTGTTGTCGTTGACATCGAGGACATTAAGCACTACAGAGATGTTCGAAGAAAGCGGCGGTATCCCCTGATCTGTTCCCTGTATCACCAGATAATACTTATTGATCGTTTCAAAGTCCAAACTGGCCATCAGCATTAGCTCACCACTTAACGGCCTAATCGAAATCGGCCATGGCGGTTCACTTTGTAACAGAGTGTAAATCACCTCGCCGTTCTGAATTATTTTCAAATTTTGCAATTGAAGTGATTGTCAAACTTCAAAAGAAAAAATAGCTGCCACTCAAAACAGTAAAGTAATACCTTCCCACGATCCTTATCATAGGCTTGTACAGCAAAGAATGGCTGATGTGTCGGATGATCCTCGTAAATATACGATTCTATTTTGTCCATCTCAAAGGTTGGAGCGTTGTCATTGGCATCGATTAGTTTGATAAGTACTTGCGTGTAATTCGCTCCACCACCATCCGTCAGTGCCTGCAGAACGAGCCATCCTTTCTCGTCATATGATCAACTTTAGGGTAATGATTACCTGTACATTAATTACTAACTGCTCCCATTTGTCAGCATCCAAATATTGAGCAACGCTAATTTGTCCATTTTTAGCATCAACTGCAAAGAAATGATCTGAATCTCCGGAATATACGCTGTACTTTATCGGGAGTGATCCTTCAGCTTCAGCTTTAACCTGAAACCGTTAGTATAAAAGTTCGAGTAGATGGTGAGTTAAACAACAACAGAAAATTAAAAAGATGTGAAGTAATGAAAGTAAAAGTTCTGTTTACCATTATTCTAAGTCATTCAATCATAACAATGCTTACTTCTCCAACCACAATGCCTGGAAGCGTTTCTTCTAAAACGCTAACTTCGTACAGTCCACTCGTAAATTGTGGAATTGCTGTAGAACTACGAATAACAGTAATATAGAGGATCGCCTAAAATTTAGAACTTTAAAGTTAAATTAAAATATAAAGCTAAAAAAGTTTGACCAAGCTAAAAGCAAGAAATATGATAATTCCTTGGTGACTTATTAGTTGTAAATTAAGATCGACATTCACAAGTCACAAAAAATTATAGCTGTTCCGAAAACTGTAAAATACACCTGCTTCTCGCTAACCATTCCACCCCCATCAACGGCTTCCACTCTCAAGTGATAATATTCTTCTGATAATTTCCTTTCCACATACAGACGACCTGACTTTCCATCCAATCGGAAAGTGCGTGATTCTTTGGTTGCAAACCGATAAAATATCTTTAAAAAGTAAAATCCGGGAGTAACGATCGAGAATGCAAAGTATCAAAGCAAATATCGCCAAAACATGATAATATTTTGAAATTTCCTAATTTAAATAATTAACTAAGTTGCTGTGTGGTATATACCGATATTCGAGTAAACTGATAAACTGAATAAACTTATGAAATGAATTCTTTCGATTTTTCAATTCCATTTTTTCTCTATCACGAACGTGTGTTCGATAAAAGTCTTGAGAAGAAAGCATTCAGCACAACCTTAGATAAAAAAATATTTATCTGATTCCGCAAATAATATTAATTTAAAAATATTTGCACACCTGTCCATAGGTCCCACTATCGGCATCATTGGCTGAAAGTAATGTCAAAAGACTACCAATTTCTACATCTTCTCGTACCGATACGTTATACTGTTCCGGATAAAATACTGGTGCATTATCGTTTACATCTTCCACGTGAACGTTTACCAACGCTCGGCTTGATTGGCCGTCTGAAAGACAGCAATGCTCTCAGGAAAGTAAAGCTGATCTATGGCGTTCCTCAGATATTCCTGCATCACATCCTTCTCACACAATCAGTTTCCTCACTTTCCATAAACTTAATGAAATAGGCAAATTAATTGAATAAATCAGCTCTTTTTGTGTGGACAGCGTGAGAAAAGCATTGAGAGCAACGCCGAGAGTATGCTAATTCAACACTCACTCACAAATTTGTTTTTACGTGTGTGTGGCAAGGAATACGAGGAAATAGCGCATGCACGTTCGACATTGCAGTTTGCATGGCATCAATGAATTGATAAAGTAGTAGTAAGTATTATGATTTTTGCATTTTACATGCACTTGAAATGAATTGCAAACGTGAGCTGCGCGTAATATTTATCTGTAAGTTGAAAAGAATTTGAGAGAACTAACTCATATGATGAGCATAAACATGAAGTTGGTAAATGGTACATTGCTCATAGTCAAGAATGGAATCGAGACAGATCCTTCCGGATTGAGTGCTAATCCGGAATGGTTCTTTCACTGAATTGATCTTCGACAAACTGTAACTCACGTTACTTTCGTTGCCACAACTGTTATTCGCTGTTACCTAAACATTTAGATTTAAGCTGTTTGATGGAATAAGTTTTTACTTCAACGAACAATTCAAACTCTTCCCTTTATCGCTATGGAAACGTTCTCTCTTCTCGACTATCTCCGAGCCGAGGATCGAAGCATTTAAGCATCGATCGTATAACTCTCCTTCATATGGCACTATAGAAACAATTGCTTTTGCGGTGGAAATTTAAAAAGGATGTCACTGAAATGTATGCCTCTGTTATTCCTTAATATGGGCAGCGAAATGGTTTATATTTTGCAGCAGCGCCTAAAGGTATCTTTTCTTTTGTAATTTCATTTCAATTATGAGATATCTCGGGAAAAGAAAGTGCAAAGTGGAAGGCAGGAAAAATTTGGGGAGAGAAGAAAAGATCAAGTAAATCAAGTTAAATCTTGTGTAATTTCCAATTCCTAACCAAAAGTGAATTATTCAGGCTCAAAAGATAGACAAAGAGAAGACGACGCAAGTACTGCGGGATATTTTGCATATTCTTTTGAATACCAAATTTTTGAAGGAATTATTCAAGCCACAATACATTTGTAGCAGACAGGTTATGCGGATTTTTTTCGAGAAGCTTATCCATTCCAGCATTATGCGACTTAGCAAAACGAGGTATCTTCTCTCCATAGTGCCTCAGAATCCCACTTCTTTAGTCCAAGTCACTTCATTGATCAATGATTTGGCCTGCCCTCAGTCCTCATTCCCGCTATTCTATGCGGTATTGTACGTTCTTTTCAGCATGGACAAACTGTACGCATTAATGACGATGACTTACAAATATCAACTTCAACTTTGCAATGGGTCTGAAAATATCGTCTTCATCACACTCAATCATTTAGACTGCATCCGTGAAATTCTGCCTGAAGACGAAAAGTTGAGTCAACTGCTGGATGAAGCTCATCGAATGGTTATTCTCATTTTTCAACATTGAAAATTGAACTGATAGTTTTTATTTACGAATATTAATTAAAGGTCTGAAAATATCATTTTCTCGATAAAGTGTTGAATTTTACTTTAATGGCGGTAATTTAATACAGTGACTCGTTCTAACAATTATATGGTCTTGATTAAATTACATTGTCATTCAAATATGTTGTGGAATCATTTCATAATTTCAGGTTATTATGATGTACTACGAAATTCCTCTCTGGGAGCAAGCAATGATTCGAAGTTGTTTGTTGAATTTTTTCCAGGTCAAGTGAAAACTTAGCCTTCAGAGCTTTCTGTGACAGTAAATTAAAATTATATTGTTATAACTTATGACTCTGAGTTTTAATTATGCGTTAATAGAAGGGATATGAAAGAAATACGGGGAAGAAGGTGATTGAATGCTCTGAAATTCATTTGAGGAGATAAATTTATATTTTGGTATAGAGAAATTTTTGAAATAAAAGCAGATGAAACAAAAATAAACCTGTTTGTTTTCAGGATTCACGAGTGAATGTATCATTATTTTTACGTGAAAATAAGCAGACGGAGGAAGGTCGATTTATTCTCTTCCCCGAATCAAACTATCAATTAGTTTACAATGGAAATCCTCCTGGAAAAATACGATATTTCGAGACTGGTGGAGAAGTGCGCTCAGAATCGTTCCCTCCCGACGATGGCGCAAGCATGTACAACCCGTGTCTCTCCACAGTAACTACTCATTCATTCTGAGGACTAGCCTTAAGAAACATACAATACCAATACGTTCAGACCAATTTATCAAGGCTATGTGTCTATGGAAGTCCTATGTTTATGTTCGCGAAATCCCTGAATGATTAATTCCAGGAAGAAATATAATTAGTTTGTCCTGCTGTTCGAGGTGATTTTAGGGAAATATCGAGTTGAATGCAAATGACAGAGGCACGACATTGGGCACTAACATGTATATGTCACCGGAAAGTCTTCAGGTCCTTTCTATCTATGTTCTCAAGTTTCTTTAAAATTCCAATTTGAAATGACGACCAAACATCAACAAGCACATTCTCGCATCGCAACATAAATATGTATCGTTGCACGATTGATGATGTAATTTAATATGAATTGAATAGAAATGGTGAGTGCTAGTGAATTTGAGTTTCAGGTAAAAAGTGGTGGCACAATAGCGAAATCGAAGGATCGATTACCAGATGAGGAGTTGCGACTGTTATCAGCACTAATTATCAGTCCTGAACAAGATCAGCAGAAAGGTTTTTTTTTTATAAAATTTCAGAAATTCAAACAAGAGATTCGAATTTATCGATGGATTCCACAAAGGAGAGGGTTGCTGTGGAAAACCTCATTATAATTGTATATTTCTGGAATTTAGAGAGATTTCAAATTTTATCGAATTTGTAACTTAAATTTTAAAATTTTAGGATTCGATTTGAATTTATTTACGGATGATGCGGAGGAAAAAACATTTCTGCAGGATGAAGCACTGAGAACAGTCACTCATATCGATGTCAAAAAGCACCGTAAAACGATCATCGCAGCGGTTGCTGACGTAAAGTTTTCAATGAATTTCGAAAATTTGAATTGAAAAATTTTTTAACAGAGAAAATTTTAGGACGCATTTTTTATTGTTTTTCCACATTATTTCAGTAACAAGACCGACCTGTATGGTCATTTGTCACTGTCCGTCTTCTGAGCAGATGTCGGTCAGTTCATCTCTGGAAAATTAGTTGGGAAACCTCTTGACTGTTACAAGTCAACAGATGTCAATTTCCTAAGCAAATTAGATCCTCTACTCATACTACTTAACAGTTATCAGGATAAACAAATTATTTATTGTTTACATATCTTTCAATACAATTACTAAATTTTGATGAAAAGAAAAAGAATTTCTCGGAAAAGAGAGAAAATCGCAGTGATATAAATGAGAATTAGTTCTGTCTTGCCGTTACACATGGCTTTTGTCGTCACTCCCCAAGAAATAGGCTGTAGTTTAAAGAGTTTAAACATTTTACTTTCATAATCCATCTAACCCCTTCGATTAAGCAAATCTCCCCACAACAGACCTCAATGCATAAATCGACTTAATTAAGGCATAAATGAAGAAAATCAATTCCTGAATGTAATTCATAGAGTTTCTTTGTGTAGTCCACAACCCACAAATCATTTGATGAAAGGAATGAAATGCTGGTCCAAATTCATATCATTTTTGGTTTTTCTGTGGTCAGTCTTTGCCCACAACCAACCTCATAGCTCGGACTATAAGACATCATTTCGTCAAATAGTTTGAATCACAGAGTTTTGCTACTTTTCAGATTGAAACATATACTTGAAAAAAGCAACAAATTGAAATGCTTCTGTTTGATGTAAACAATTTTCATAAGAATGATGTCCGCACACATTCCTTCATTCTCAATTTCTCATTAAGCTCCGCTACATTTTCCTTCATTTTTCCGATATTTTATCTGGGAATGGAATTGAAATTGACAGAATGACAAAGGGAACAACTATTTGGGAGGTACTTTCGCGAATAGTCCAGGAAGAGATGGGGTCATTTCACAAAAGTTTTCTGTCACCTGTTCTTGTCCTCCCTTAAACAGGTGGGAATGGGTGATGAGTTCCTCTGTCAAATTATTTCATGGTGACAGCGATGTTGATGGTCCTATCGAGTGTTTCTGCTCCTTCTCAAGGACGCATTAACTGTCCCATCGTAAATAGCAACAACAATAATAAAATAAGGCCCATTACCGGTCAGGAGAAAGGCGGCTACTCTATTTGAACTGAACTGTCAACGTTTATGCCATAATTCTTTTCAAAATAACACGAACACCACTTTAAATCCACACGTAAGACAAATTTCCTCACAATTGTTCTCGATCAATAATGACTTATGACATTCTCTCTGCGCCTAATGCAAAATTTGTCATATTGCAGGCTATGGAAACACATACTGTTAATAAAACTAATCTCAATTTTTACTTTATACTCTTTAACATTTTATTTGAAAATTTATATTCAGAAAAGCCTTAAAAATCATTACAAGTTAGGAAAAGTTTCAAATTTATTATTACTAAATTATCAGTTTCAATCTTAGAGTTATTTCATATTCATATTATTACAAATTGGTTCAAATTTTAATAGCAAAAATGGTTACTAAAAAATTTAAAACTTTCAGTTAAAGTTGGAAGTACCGCAACGACAGTCGAAAAAAGGAGAAGACATGTTAAATTTGTTGGATGAAGCAGTAAATCATCCCGATATGTCGGCCAGAAGTTCTACAAAGCGAAGTATTTCATCGACAAGAAAACAAACACAATGAAATTAGTCCTTACCTAAGCATGTCCATATAAGAGGTCAAAGGTTAGGGTTTCAAGGACTGAAAAAATTAACAGTGACATGAGAAAATTGTTAACAGTCACACCTTGTAAAGTGTTGTTAATTCAGCTTATATTTGCTAACAACTTTAAATTGCATGAGATGTGAATGGATATGTAAAGTTTTTTTTTTTTTGAGACAGCTTTGAAATACCATCCCTACCTGTGCTGCAGAAAGCAATGCTAATTTATTAATTGTATATTTCAAGCTTAGTTTCATGATTGAAGTAGAAAACTAAAATCATATTTGAGCCTTTAATTATTCAAAATTAAATTTTTAATCAAGTTGGCTAAAATGCATTGGAGCGGAAATTCATTAGCGTGATATGAACCCATTTTCAATGAACCACTAATAATAAATCATTAAAGACATTGTGGGCCTCTTGTAATCCTTCTCATTTCCCAAATGAAATTTTTCAGTAATTCATTGATAATTGACAATCCTAGCGAGTTTTTTCACCAACTTTCAAGAAAACTTATAGACACGTGAATAAATTATTCAAAGTCAGGAAAGAGCAATTGAAATTTTGAATGAAACAAATTGAAATGATCGACTTTCTTCGCTGAATTCTAATTGTAATAGAATTATTTTGAGACTTTCCAAAGAGAACTCCTTTATTTCCTTCAATGAGTTATTCTAATTTCCACATCACCGATAAATTATCAGATGGTTACTTCCCCCTTCTGACCACTACATGGATCAAGTTTTCAATTGACCTTTGGTTATAACAACATTCAGGTTACTTTTCTCCTGTTCATGTCCTCCTACTTTTTGAGTACATAATAACCATGTCACTGCAGGTATTTCAATATTATGTAAGTGTGCGTGGTTGAATGATTTGAATAATTAAAAATTTATGGAATATATCAATTTTACTTAACCTGACATAAAATATGGGACTTAAATGTGTTGAGGAGAAGATAATTTCATTGTGCTGCGCAACACATTAAGGACAATTATGAGGATGAGATAATGGTAGTGAGGGACGTAAGCAAGAAAAGTGTTGAGGGAAGGACAGTGACCTTAACAATATTCTCCAGTCATTTATCATTGTCAGGATACTTCTTTCATTGAAGAGTAATACTTGCACGCGAAGCTCCTCACTTCCTCTCTTTCTTTTTCAGTAAACATCCCGGGGGATTATTGAAAATGAAGTAAGTGACCACCGAGTGACCACTTGCCTTTCTTCCTTCTCAGTCTTTCGCCTCATACGGCCAAAGAATGGAGTGAAAGATGATAACAGTATGGGAATTATGGGATTAGTTTGGAAAAGTAAATATATTAGTGCTACCGAAGACGAGACTGAAATATAAACAATCTGTGAAGTACATAAATAGCAGACCATCAACTGACCAGCTTAACGCCCTTATTCAATTCATTCGTAAATCCTTATGTAAACAGCTGAAAAACTGAGCTACGGAAACTGTCCAAAGGATTATTATGCATAAAAGTTGAAAATGCGGCAGTTCCCATCTTCCTTATTTGTAACATAAAAAATTTGAGAATAATGTTATAATTAGTTGTCACCTCAGACAAACTTCTGCTAAGAAAGAATAGTTATAAATTCAAGTGTGAAAACGAAGTTTGATTTTTCTTCAAAAATAACAAAATTAAACTAATTAATTTTTTCACTTCTATACATTTCTTGTCTTCACTTCAATATTTGCATATTGTTCACTGTTTTCTCCTTCATTCTGTCTAATCCTTAAATAATTGATGATGGGATATTGTAAATTTGCTGAGGTATTATAAACAACAAAGGCTCAACACAAAATTGAATTTGCGTCACATTCTAAATATTTGAAAAGTTGCATTAAACAATTTCGATTGTAAATCGTTCAATTTCTAATTAGTTCATCATTAAAACTGTTTCAATGAAATGTTGCGTTAATTAAAAAAATCCTTTTAAGACAAAAGCAGGTGTTCTTGACATCCATTAATATTGAGCAATACTATCAGTTAGACTTTAAAAATTCGGTGAGTAAAGCATTCAAGCATTTAAGTAGCAGTTTGAATTAAGAGCATTCTTTTACGATTATCCTACCCATTACCCTTTCATCAACAACATTTCGTTTGTTATTCTTTTGTCACTTCTTTTCCTATTAAGCAAACCAATAAATGGAAATGATATCTGACCTTGAGAAGGCAAGTGCCCGGTTCCGCATCCTCCTTAACGGTCACATCGTACAACGGTTTTGTAAAAATAGGAGGTCGATTATTGCCATCAATGATTTCAGCAATAACATCAACTGTGGAGGATTGTGGCGGAATGCCGGAATCTTCCGCACGAACGCGAAAACGATACTCTTCGAGTGAGCAATCAAACTGAAACATCCAATTTTCATGACCTTTTCAATTAATTTTTTTTTATAATTCGCTTCTAATTGCAAAACTGAGAAGTGAATCATCAAAATTTGTTGAAATAAGCAAAGTAAATGTGGTGATCAAAGACAGAAATGTTTGAAAACATTGAAAGAGAGAAAGAAAAACGGACATTTTCGTGGAAATTCAGGATACCGGTGTCGGAATCAATTTCGAATAGATCACTATCCAAAACAGTGTAATGTATCTGACCATTTTCACCACTATCCGGGTCCGATGCTTGAATTCGAACTAATTTGTAGTGTGTTACAGATCGATTAAATTTTATATGGAACAGTGATTTTTCAAATTTGGGTGCATTATCGTTGACATCACGTACCTGAAAATTGTTTTAAAAAGTCAAATCTGCGAAGTTCCATGCAATGCTATGCTCTGTGTCAACTTAACCTTGAAATTTACTAATTCTGTAAAAATACCGGAAATTTACCTCAAAGAACACTGGGATTTCCAGCAACTGTTTCCCATGGGATCTGATGATAAAAAGTAGATTGTATTCAGACTTTTGTTCGCGATCAAAGGATCCGCAGACAAGTACCAAGTAAACTCCCGACGAATCAGTCTCTTTGATGCACAGTGCATCACATCCACTTACTGATAATTCACTGTAATTTTGAAATTTCGGTGAAAACTGTTCTGAATAAATGTTTGATTCTTACTAAAGTTCTGATTTAGAACTTTTGCTCTCCCTTTAAAGTCCAACTTCTCCAAATCCAAATTTCCATAAGACGTAAAACAAAGCGGTGAACTGACCTTTGTTGAGGTGCATTTTGTGCAGCAATCCGAGCAATAACGTGTCCTACTGTAACGTTTTCATAAACTTCCGGTTTATTGCTATCAGTAAGCCAAAAGATATCGAAAATAAGTTCTGGTTGATTATTCTTCTGAATCGTAATAGTTAGAAAAGTTGTAGATTCAAGAGGTTGAGGTAGTCCATGATCACTGGCCACAATTAGAAGCTTATAAACTGAACCAGAAATAAGAAGTTTCGGATCGCTTACTCGTACCACGCCATTTTCTCCATCAATTTGGAATGGAAGTTTCAGGTCAGCACGACTCTGCAAATTCACAATTAATCGGTTCTTCAGTAAAATTATTGAATGAGCACGTGAAAAGTCGTGTGGAACGTCGGTATCTCTTTGAGAAATGATCGTATAAAAAATGGATGGAGTTGGAGAAAAGAGCTACCGACCGACCTTTGCAATGGAGTAAGCAACTCGAGCATTTTCTCCGAGATCAGGATCTGTGGCATGGACCGTCGCAACCACGTAACCCATCGACACATTCCACGGGATAAAGGTACTGTACCCGTTTTGGCTAAACTCTGGCGCATTATCGTTCGCATCCAGAACTGTCACGTTGACGAGCATCTTGCCGCTACTAAAATGTTATCGGACAACTAATATTAAGAGCTGAGCTGGTCATTTGCTTGCATGAAAGTGAACTGGTCAATTTCATTTGATTATCAATTCACCCAAGCTAACTTCATATTCCATGAATCTTTCGGATTCTTTGAGATTTTGCTTATTCCACTTTCTCATGATGTCTGGAGAAAGGACATCTTTTTTTGTCCAACAACTCAAAGGAGACTTTCTTGTCTCTTAACGAAATTTCGAAATTTCTAATGACCGATTACTTTTTCTTTAATCATTTTTCTTTTCTAAGGTTTCTTTGTTTTGACGGTGTTTAATCACAGAAGCTTGTCAGTTTATCAACCTAATACGCTGAACTTTTCTGAAATATGAACAGTATGAATTTTATTGCGAAGATAAAATAATGAACGAAGGAGGGATGTCTTCCAAGGAATTTCATTTTATCCACTCCAGAAAATTTTTGAAATCAAATTTTTCATGCATTCTTTTTATAATACGTTAGCCTATATGGTTATGCAAATTTCCTTAATTTGCACGGATTTTTCAGTCAATACTCCAGCAAATGATACTTTGGTGGGTTGCCTCCATCCAAGGCTTCTATGAGAAGCTCATATTGGCCGCGATATTCTCGATCCAGCTGTCCATTCACAACCAAGTCAACATATAACATCGAATTGATTCGCTTACTTGACAATCTTCAATTACCAATAATTATTAAGCCGTACGGTGGAAAGAAAGGTTAAGAAATATATGAATGTTTAATTATAAAACAGTTTTTTTGTGGATAAAAAGCAAAATCCCTTGTTAATGGACTTAACTTTTTAATTTTCAATTTTCATATTTCGTCAACAAAATTGAATTCAAAGTAGAATTATTTAGACATACTTAAATGCATTGTTGACATTTCCGGATAGGATATGGTATTTGACCACTGACAGCGGAAGAGAATCGTTATCCACTGCCGGTGGTAATGAAATTTCCGAATTTAGCGCAGCAAATTCGGAAATAGCCACCTGAAATCCTTGTTCGTTTTAATTACTTGGGTTATTAAATTTAAATCGATACGAACAAGTTATTAAGTGTACAGGTAGCCCTTTACTACTTTTAAAAACGTAAAATTCATTTACAATGAATTGTCCATTGTTTAGTGAAATGTTTAGTTACACATCTTTTCACATAATTTGGTAGTGGTATAATGCTTTGTGTTGTTTACAACAAATGAGTTTCATTGGGGTAGAAAATATCCAACTGTGACAGTCACTCCTTTCGAGAACAATAATGTCATCCCTCGGTCTTCCGCCCTTTGTTGTTCACTGTGGGAACGGATGTTTCGTTGCATTATCTTCCATTTTTTCTTTGAATTCGGAATTTTTCAGCATCGAAATGAGGACGATGAAAGAGAAAAAGATGGTAAAAAGTTATTACTGTTATTAATATTAGAAACCATTTCTCTGCTCTTTGATTCATCGATTTTTAAAACTCTTCAAATTAATGAACAGTTATCTGTTTAAGTAGAACTTCTATAAGTTACATTATAACTCAAATATGTCGAAAAACTCACTTATTTTATTACAGTAATTTTAAAATGCTGAAATTAAATAGATTGCAATCTGCAAGTATCTGGCGAGATGTAAATTTTAAAACAGTGCAAGGAAATAGATTTTTGATATTTTTCTAGCAAAAGTCACCAAAGAAAATTTACAAATGAGTTAGCAATTTTGTGAATTCACTTTGTCTTTCATAGCCAAACTTTATTTTTCAGAATTTAATTACTGAATTTTGATTTAATCTATCGGAAAGCTTTTTCTGATATTTCCACTCATGATATTAAATGGGGTCAAACACTTACAGCTCCGGGAAAGGGATGATGGAGGTGAAACAGCCAAAGGAAAGTTTTTTTTGGGACAGAATTAAATATCGACGAACTTTGTATCTCTACATGTTCATATTTTTCTTCATTGAAAAATACAGAATTTTCCGATTTTTGTAAAGAAAATTTTTTTGAGAAAATTCTTAACTTAGAAGAAATCTGATGGGAAATATTAAAATTTACAGTCTTTAGTAGCTTTCTGTGCACAGCAATTTATTGAATTCTTCTGTTTAAAAATCAGCATAACTAAAAGGAATAATTTTCGACACGGCTAAGTTACAAACGAGCGCCATTGTGATTTATAAAAGTTTCTTATTGACCAAATTAATTAAATATAATTAATTTTGTTTAGCTGAAAAGAAGTCACTATCAAATAACTAAATAATGATGTTATAGTTTGTTTGCTTGCAAAATAGTTTGCAATTTGTTTGCAGCCAACACAGCCATTTAATGATAAGCAAGTGAGAACAATGGAAATGATCTGTTTAATGTAACTGAAAATGAAGTATAAGCAAGCTTCTTACATCGATGGAAGAAGCAGGAAATGTTGGCGTGTTATCATTCTCATCAATGACATTTACTACGGCGTGAATTGTTTCTCCATGCGAGCGGTTGTCCACGGGTACAGCGATCAAGTGGTAGGAAGTGCGACGTTCATAATCTAACTCACGTAAAACGCGTATCTCACCACTTACTTCTTCCACTGCCAAATACTGCAATTGAAGAAAATGCTTATGCTCAGTTCGCATCAATTTCTAGCAGTGAAATTATCTGAAAATTCATAAGTGATTTAAAGATAAAAATCAGTGAAGCCTCGTTCATTTAAAACTGACCATCAATTTAATAAGCATAAAGCTGGATATCTCTTTCTTTCGTAATATTCAGGAGAAAATTTCTTTGGTCAAAAAGTACATTTTAAAAATTGCATTCAATTTGCCATGTCATTTCCTTTGTCGTATTGCCTCTGCAGACGTATTTTTCTGGTAGTACTCATTTTCCTTATCGATTTTCAGTTTCTTATAAATATGCGAACTTAATTTCAGACGAATGTACTTCTCACGAAATGATCTTTTGACGAATTTACATATTACTCGTGCTTGACATTCCTGATACTTTCATTACCTTTTGCACTACAATTTTCTAACGCAAGAGAACTGCTTTTTGACTTTTTCTTTAAATAATTTAATGGAAAAAACAGCGAATTAGCTGATTAGAGATGGAAATAAATTTATTTCAAAAAGTTAGAGGAAAGTTTAAAAGAGAAGATTTGTTTGAAGAAAAAGATTGCATTATTTCATGTCTCATTCCTTCCTTTCTTCTCTCATAGATTTTCAATTTCTCCTTTTTCGAACTCCCTTGAAAGTTTCAAAAATTCTCAAAGACTGACAACTCGAAATGTTTCACACAATTGAAAATGAAAATATATTTAAGCGCCTTAGTTATGATAATAGTGGTAGTACATTTTCGGACATTGCATCAGCGACCTCGCAATTAATTGATCTCAATTCATTTAGCCCATATCTATAATTGGTCACCGCCGAACCATTCCACAGTTATGAGCAGAGGGCATCTTTTCATTTTACTTAAATTGCTTTATACGACAAATTGAAATTGTTGGCGGTTGGGAAAAGAAAATGATAGATTATAATATGTTATGACCGATTCAAAAAATGGAATAAAAAAAATTAACAGCAAAAAGAGCTGTTTAGAATATCTTTTAATAATATCTTGAGAATTTCATCAGTATTTCAAAATTTGAAGCAAGGTGAAGGAGGTCATCAGCGTTATCATAAAGTGTAAAAAGCAATTTGTCGTTTAGGAAATACTTTACTAACTTACTTTTTCGGTTTCTCCACTATTGTCCGGATAAACAATATAAAAATTTGGTTTGATACCATCGGAAGGAGTACCGTTAAAATAGCCAATTATATGCCCAACAGGCGCTTGTTCAGAAATATTGAAAATTCTTTGTTGCTCACATGTAGTACTTCTCAACAGAGTAATTATTATCAGTATAAACATTCGGATAGTATAAATAGGAGAATTACTACAACGAGATGGAAATAAATAGTTTTGACATATGAGTTAAACCCGAGGTCATCGACAGGGTCATCACATCACGTCGGTCTGAAATGCAACCATCATCAGTAGATGATAATGATCAGTGAGATACCAACCATTCCGGTCCGTATAACATCCGCACATTACATCGGCATTAGTACTTTGATGATTCTCTTAGGGCCATTCTCAGACGATTAAAAAGACACTTCAATAAATGGGTTTTTTTGCAAACGATCATCCAACTACTTCTTACTGCAAGAAATGAACACACCATCGGATCCTCCACACATTTCTCGAGTACACATTTACCAGTCCCAACAACATTTTGAATCATCGTAAAAAAATCGCTAAAGTTTTAGTTGTCTAACGGACATGAACTTAAGTTAAAGAAGGATTCTGTAAATCATCTTCCGCTGTTACCAAAAATTCTCAGCAATTCAAATTTATGAAAATCTGGAATTAAATAGCGTCACTTTTATTAAGCACTATTTCAAGGACCTTCTGATGGAAAGATGAGGAAGGTAAGGAGCAGCGGTATCAGTTGAATTGGTTTGACAGATAAAATGATAGGGTATGAAAACGCAGACATTGAATTTTATATTTGCTGAAAACAGGTTTGACGAAAGGCACCGTTTTCACATGAAGTATTCGTTGATGCTATGTGTGGAACACAGAATACTTGGAGACGTACCAATACGATGTGGTAAGTTGCGGGATTTGCCAATGTGATAAGATTTTCGTCCGAAGATGTGATTAATCTTCGCTTTAGCTCTCCCAATCTCAGAACTTTAACAAATGGGATGAAAACGATTAAATCAGAAAATATTTCTCAAATGGGTCAGAAATATAACTGAGGAAGAAACAGACAAAAAAGCTTTGCTAATTATGGAGAATTAAAATTCAAATTAAATTAAGGCATTAAGTTAATGCTACCCGTCTACTGGAAGTCATGAAGTCTGTCGGATTATGGTGAAATAGACTGGCAACAACCATTTCTGAAGATTAAAAGCAATATTTGTGTAGTGAGAAATGAAATTCTGAGATGCTTTGGTCAGAGATGGATATTTGAGCTTCATTGACCTGGAAAGTTCAGTGTCATTGTTGCTTATGCATGACCCGAGCAGTTTGATTGAGAGAGGCGTAAGAAAGAATAAGCAATTATAGTGGAAACGGTTGAACGGGAATGACCAAAGTTATGAAATGAATGGAGAAGATCACTCCTTTGCTGGGAGGAGAGCAATGTTAATATTCAGCAAACTATAAGTATAAAAAGATCGCCAAATCATTTAAAAGATTTGGCCAACTTTTAAAAATGAGAATGAAAAGTCTATTGACGCTATTGAAGACAATTATATCGCTTATTATTATTATTGCTATGACTGTTAATTATTATTAGTACTATCATCAAATTTTTCTAAATTTTTCTACTCAATGCACCATTAATTTAAAGTTAACTTATAGTAATGAGAACGTAAATAGCAAAGTACGGCGTAATGAGAATAACACAGGTAACGTTAAGAAATTAGTGTAAGTAATATGCCATACATCATTATTCTCTGAAAATGGACAAGAAGGTCAAGCAGGTAATGCGATGTTTTTGTAAAGAAAACGGTGGTCAAAAAAAGAGAAGCATGGGTAGGTAATAAAGTTTAGTGAAATTTAAATGGATGAGATGGAGCAATTCATCGGTTTGTAATATTAAGTGAATGTTGCACGGGATGGACCAGGGCTGTCCGTTATATGTCGTAGTTTTGGTTGAAGGAAGGAGAAGAATGGGACGAGGTTGACAGCAGTGGGTGGCTCAAAAGGAAGGAAGGAGACCGCCCACCTCCACAAAATGGCCATTTCTGTTCGATTCGATGGAAATTCTATCAACTCACTCGAACAACCTGAAATAAATCTAAAAAGTCTTCTTAGGCCCCATCCCAAACCCTCAACCCATCCCACTGCAAAATGACAAGAAACTCGTTATCCACTCCGGGAATTACATATGCAAATGTTATAGCTCTCACAGCTTAGCCTCTTGCCTTATTGATATGCTAAATAACAGAAAGAAGTGGGTAGAAAGGGAGGGAAAGAGACGATAGATGTTGATCACTTGAGATTTTCGAGAAGTGCGAATCCCAATTCACAGATGGCTACAACAGCCTTTCAGATGAAGGCAAAACGAATTTTTGAAAAATGCGCTTATCGAAATATGAAGAGCCAATTCTGTGATGCTTCTTCAATCGCAGCAAAGAAAGATATGGAAATTCGACCGCGTAGAAAGGAACCAAAGAAAGAAGGACCGAAGGGAACAAGGAAAGTTGTAAGGGAAGAAGATGAAGATTGGGACAATTTAAGTGAGCTTATATGATAATTGAATTAATTATAACTGTCCATGGGAAGCAAGACAGGTTAAAGTAGAGTGGATGTGATGCTGAAAGATAGGCACTTCTTGTCACATCTCCTCTTTTCATCCTTTCTTTAACTGCTAATTGATACAACACTGCTTAAATTAGTTTTGAAATTATGAAATAATTCAAATTAGCAGTGAAAAGTGAAATTGGAATAGGATAATAATTCTGCGATCAGGTTCTATTCCGGGTGGAAGTACGGCATTGACCACTTGAAGCGTTAATATATGCGATAACCAGTACACGGGAAATTCTTGCTTCTTCACATGAACTGACCGGAAAAAAAATTGCGATCTGAAATGGGCTTACACTCCGAAAGCTTCTTGAAACTGTCTCTTTCTCACAATTTCAAATTCATTTCTAACAAATTAAACATTATTTTCTGTTAGATAGAGCTCATACAAGCATCAAACCTGCTTGTGAATCTTTCCGGGTTTCATTCTTCAGGCTAATCACAACATTGCAACATTAATTTAGATGTTCATCAGTTCACTGTTTCATAAATACTATGCTAATGCCTTTTCTAATCTGTTATATTTATTTATGTACCGAAATTAATTTTAATACGAATCGCTCATTTTTGAAAATATCCTAAAATAAAAGTCACACTTCAATAATGCTAATAATTAAAATATGCCATCAGCTGATTCTCTTCTTTTTCGATATTACCCTCTTTCCTTCTATCAATCGCCATCTTTTCTTCAGTGTTGTACAAAGGAGAATAAAGTCCTCACAATTTGTAACTATTTCATAATCTACAATATAAGTGGATTGATGCTGCAGTGCGTTGCTGATATTAACAATGCCAATTTTTACT